CGTGGCCCTGTGGAGGAAGAAGGACATCGCATGAGAATGGAAGCCACAGGTGGGACTCCCAAAACATGTTTCACAAGGATCCCTTCATTCCCTCTGCCCTCGTACCTGATGTTCGCCACGCCTCTCCAGGGATTTCGCCAGAACAAAATACGTGTTGGGGAAAGGCTCCCACACTGCAAAGAAAAAAGAAACATGAGCAGGCGCCTGGCTCCCTGCCATGCTAGCCCCAGTCTGGGGCATGAGGGTGGGGGACAAGGGAAGGAAGCATTCCTAGAATATGGGGCACTCAGTGGGCATTTCCACTTACCTGAGCTGGGAGCCTTTCCCCCTTTGTTCTGGCCGGCCTCTCGCCTAAGGAAGAAACAAGCTCAGTTAGTATGATTGGGGGAGAAAGGGAGAAATCTGGGATTGATCTCCACCAGAGCCAGATTATTCAATGGGCAGAGTAGGCCTATGGGCCAGGCAAAAACGGATCAGAATAAGTACTGTTTGTTTTGCCTATTAATTATTGTTGGTTGCTAAAATAAAAAACGTATCAGGATATGATTTGCAAGGAGCCCAGGGATATTTTGACTGCCTAGGGGCCTCCACAGGTTTCAACCTGGAACTGTGCCCAACCAAGGGCCAACTTTGGGTTCTCAAATGTCAAGGGCCTCCTGTACGCAGAGCCGTAGCTGAGTGATCTTGCGCCCCTGGAGAACCGTCCAGATCGCGCCCCCTAGCCACGGTCGAATGAGCTCTTCTTTCTGCCTCTCCTCCAACCCTCCACCCATTCAATTCACCCTCTATTAAAAACCTTTTCTTATGAGGCAATAGCCCAGTGTGAGCACACCGGCCGTGCCATCCTCAGACTGCCCCACCCCTGCCACAGAAGGGCACAGCATACCTGCTGATGTTGGTTTTGGACGTGGCACCGCTGGGCTGCTGCCTGGCCCGAGCCCTGACTGGCACTTCCAAACCACGGCCCTGCAAAGGAAGGACATTTTACTCTCCTGCCAAAGGCATCCACTCTAGGAGACAGGGGTCCCGGGGACCCTCCCCAAAGATTTTCTTCTGGGGCAGATCGCCCTCCATATTTTCTCTCCCCCCAGCCACATCAGGGGGCGGCCAGCCAGCGGAGGGACATAGGGGGCAGGTGGGAGGGTGAAGGCCGCTCCCTGCAAGGCCCTTTCCACCTGGCCTGGGGGGCGAGGCCCAGACCCACCAGCCAGCCCTACTGCAGAGGCTCCCCAAGGAATTAACATACCACAATCTCCAGGGAGATTTGTTTATGTTGATGCCTTCTGGTCTGAGAACCTGTGAGACAGAAAGGAAACCAGTAATTCACAGCAGAAAATATCCTGCCCACAGCCAGCCCTGGCTGGGCTCCAAACTCCAACCATCTTCTTACCAGCCAGATGCACTGACCCCTTTCAATTCTGCCTGGGGTGGAGAAAGGGGACAGAGAAGCGTTTTGCTCTCTGTCCCTCAGGACATGGATATGAGAGCCACACCATGCAGCCCTGACAATATCTCAAGGGCCGTCACAGGGAGGAAGGAGAAAGATTGTTTTCTCCTGCTCCAGAGGCCCTTAGGACCTGAAGCCGTGGATTCAAGCTACAATAAGGAGATTCTGACTCAACTTCAAGAAAAGCTTTCTGACAGCAAGAGCTGTTTGACAGTGGGAAGAAATCCCTCAGGAGGCAGAAGACTCTCCTTCCTTGGAGGTTCTTCAGCAGAGGTGGGATGGCCATCTGCCATGGATGCTTTAGCTGGGGGTTGGTCTAGATGACCCTTGGGGTCCCTCCCAACTCTACAATTCTATAATCCTATGGGGTTCCAGGTTCTTACCTTTGCGAAGGTCAGCCATAGCAGTGTAACTCAGTAACTCAGTTCACAGTAGTGGTGCAGAGTTATGCTATTAAAGCGAGTCTGAATGTTGGGGGGAGGCAGTTGAGAGTTGGTTGAGAGTGGTGGGTTCTAGAAGGGGGGGGCAAGGGACGGCTTCCGATTGGCTGCAGGAGCTTCCTGCTCTCAGAAGGAAGCCATGTCAGATGTTGGGCTTCCAAAGAACGTTCCCAAGCCGGACACTCACTTATAATTATTTCATTTATTAAATTTATATTTCACCCTTTCTCCCGAAGGAGGCCAGAATGACACGGGATGTGGGTCTGTTCTTGGCAGTTTCCTGTAGATATGACACAGCTGAGGCGCAACTGGGAACATTGTTTGAATAAAAACCACTGACTTCAAAGTGCCAAAACTTACCTGCTGCTTTAGATGTGTGTCAGCAATGCAGACAATATTGGCTAGATTTCTTATTCTGTTGTATTGCTGCTAGATTCTGGCTTCCTCACATATAAATGTGGCAGACACACTTAAAGAACAAATACTGTTGCTCCCATCATGCCTACTTGGACCCATCAACCCTGACATCCGTGCCCTATTTTGCATGCTTAAATAATTCAATAAATACAGACAACAACAACTGTGGGGCTGTGAAAAATTCACTCCGTGTGTTTTTCTCCTATATTGTTAGTTATTCCCCTTGCAGAAGATGAAGAGGGTGGGGCTCTTCGTCTCCTTGCCCATCCCTTTCCCCACAGAAGCAGCCTTCCGCTTTCCTTTCTCTTGGCTGAATCAGGCCCCACAGGTTTAATCAGATGTGCATCCAAGGGCCAATTCTGACTATCTGTACTATCTGCACCCAGTTTACTGTACGGTCCTCTCAGGAGGCCTTTCCCATCCACTGTCCTGTTTTCCAAAGAGCGTTGTTGGTAGCAATGGCCTTGGCTATCCATGCCAATGAGCCTTTGATAGTATGTACACCGCTTAGGAGTCCCAACGAGAGCAGAGCAGAAGGGGTGCTGCTGCCGCTATGGAGCTTGTGGCAAAGCTTAGGCTCTTAACTCTTCCTTTAGCATCACTGAGGCATCTGATCAAGGCCTGTATTTTAAAATGAGCTTAAAAGATTTGCAAATGTTTCATGCCAGGCAGAAAACCATCTGGCTAAGTACTTTTTTTCAGTTGTTTATCCTCCTGGACAAGGGCCCCTCTGATTTATAGCAAGTAACAGGAGACAGGTTTCTCAAAGTTGTAAAAGGGAAATACAGGCTGGGAGCAAAGGTTACACTGACCCTACATATTACAGAATACAATCAAGCTGCAAAAACACTAATTAAGAGTTGGTAAATAGTAAGATCACTGTTTAGATAGAATTTAATACCACGAGCCATTTGTTTTAGCCATTTGTTTTGGAATGTAGGGGCAAAAGGTGATCTGGTAATTAAGGTGCCTTGTCGAGGCAAATGTAAGATATATGGCTACTTGTCTGCCATTTATGGATAGAAGGAAATATAGCTTTTTGTTTCCCATAAAAGGTAATAGGAAATGGGTGTATCTTTTATGATTGGTTCTAGCAAACAGCCAATAGGAATTTCAACCAGGCTGATTGGACAGAGGCAGCCAAAGGAGGAGCAAGGGGGCTGGGTTGAGGAAATATAAGTGCTGGCCATCAGGGCTGGAGGGCAGGCAGAGCTTTGGTAACCATATACCACTGTGCCTATCATTTATTTGTCTGACAAATAAATTATTTTAATTTCTCTATTGCTGCGTTGAATATTTCATTCCAGCTAAGCGTTAACCACAAGCAGGGTGCTACACTTAGGCTCTTAACTCTTCCTTTAGCATCACGGGATTGTGGAGCTGGGAGGGGCCACAAGGACAATCCAGCCCCCTGCAAAGCAGGAATCTTTCAGCCAAAGTGGGGCTTCAACCCACGACCCTGAGGTTAAGAGTCAGGCTCTCCTGGCTGAGCCATGACTGGTGGTCAGCATTTAATCTCAGCCTCTCTGGCAGTGAGGAGCATTGCACCCCTTTGCCACATTTGGGGGTGTTTTTGGAAGAAGCCATAGGCCACCACTGTATATTCTCCCATATTACATGTTTAAGGTTACATGTTATCTTTATCATCCCCATTCTATAAATCAGAGCTTCCCAATTTTAAACACAATACAGTGGTACCTCAGGTTAAGTACTTAATTCATCCCGGAGGTCCGTTCTTAACCTGAAACTGTTCTTATCCTGAAGCACCACTTTGGCTAATGGGGCCTCCTGCTGCTGTTGCGCCGCTGGAGCACAATTTCTGTTCTCATCCTGAAGCAAAGTTCTTAACCTGAAGCAATATTTCTGGGTTAGCGGAGTCTGTAACTTGAAGCATATGTAACCTGAAGCGTATGTAACCTGAGGTACCACTGTATATCCGGAATAAGGTCTTGGGGCTTACTTGCATATGAAAAGATTTTAACCCAAAGATATTGGAAGTAATAAGAACTACCCACTGACAGTTATGTCATTTTAATAATCCATCATCCCTTTCCCCCCTTTTTTGTATTCTTCTGGAGTTTTTTCCCCCTGTAAAAATTTTGGGGCCCCCAAATGTTTTGAAGAATACATGGATAAACACTGTTCAAAAAAGAACAGGCTGATATGCTTAGACTAAAGGAGTGAAGTGGGAAAGGCACGTTTTAAAGAGATTAAATAAAAAACCTAATGATTGCAACGATAGCATTGAATATAACATATGAGGAAGTCGAGGAGTTGTGGAGGGGAGTCACGGGGTGTGGTGATGGGAAGTCTGTAAATAGTGGTTTATTTTTGTGTGTATTGCATAGCTGTCAACTTTCCCCTTTTCTTGCGAGGAATCCTATTCGGAATAAGGGAATTGCCCTTAAAAAAGGGAAACGTTGACAGCTACGGTGTATTGATTTGGGTTTTTTTTCTTTTTACTTTTTGCATTATCAAAACTCAATAACATTTTAAAAATATTTTTTTGGGGGGGGGCCCCCAAGAGACTGGGACCCTAAGCTATAGGTTGTTTAGCTTATACGTAAATCCGGCCCTGCGTGCGCCAAAAATGCGCTTGCAAAACTCAATCCAAAGCCACCCGGAAACCAGCAGCGGCGCGCAATGGCATTGCAATTGCAATTCTTTGCAAATCCAGGGCTCTTTCCGCAGGACGTGACATCAGGCGCCGGCCTCTTCCTCCCTGTTTCCCTGCCCGGCTGCGGGCGCATCTCCCCCGCGGATTCTCCCCCATGGCCGGGGCGCGGGTGCTGGGCGAGAGCGGGGGCGGAGGGGGCGCTGCTGCCGCCGCCGCCGCCGCCGCCGCGGCCCCCATGGACTACTCGGTGCACGAGGCTTGGAACGAGGCCACCAACGTCTACCTGCTGGCCGTGCTGGCCAGCCTGGCTCTGCTGGTGTACGCGCGCAGGTGGGCTCCCCCCATCTCTCTGTCGGGGCCAATATAGGTCGGCGGCACTGCAGCCTGCCCTTCGGAACTCCCCGCCACTGGAGAGCCAGCAGGGCGTCTGCAGAGACGCCCGCTGCGCACTGCTGGGAATTTCCCACCGCCTTTAGCGTGGCGGCGACTGCCCTTCGGAACTCCCCCCCCCACTTGAGATCCAATAGGGCGCCTGCAGAGACGACCACTGTGCAATGTTGGGAACCCCCCACCGCCTTTAGAGTGGCGGCACCTGCCCTTCGGAACTCCCCGCCACTTGAGATCCAACAGGGCGGCTGCAGAGATGCCTTTAGCTTGGCGCCTGCCCTTTGGAACTCCCCGCCACTTGAGATCCAGCAGGGCGCCTGCAGAAACGCCCGCTGCGCACTGTTTGAACCCCCCACCGCCTTTAGTGAGGTGGCGCCTGCCCTTTGGAACTCCCCGCCACTTGAGACCCAGCAGGATGCCTGCAGAGACGACCACTGTGCAATGTTGGGAACCCCCCACCGCCTTTAGAGTGGCGGTACCTGCCCTTCGGAACTCCCCGCCACTTGAGATCCAACAGGGCGGCTGCAGAGATGCCTTTAGCTTGGCGCCTGCCCTTTGGAACTCCCTGCCACTTGAGATCCAGCAGGGCTCCTGCAGAGACGCCCGCTGCGCACGGTTGGGAACCTCCCACCGCCTTTAGTCTGGCGGCGCCTGCCCTTTGGAACTCCCCGCCACTTGAGATCCAGCATGGCGCCTGCAGAGAGGCCTGCTGCGCAAGGTTGCGAACCCCCCACTCAGTTTAGCGTGGTGGCGCCTGCCCTTCGGAACTCCCCGCCACTTGAGATCCAACAGGGCAGCTGCAGAGACGCCTTTAGCTTGGCGCCTGCCCTTTGGAACTCCCTGCCACTTGAGATCCAGCAGGGCTCCTGCAGAGGCGCCCGCTGCGCACGGTTGGGAACCCCCCACTGCCTTTAGTGTGGCGGCACCCGCCCTTTGGAACTCCCCGCCACTTGAGATCCAGCATAATTCTGATTTCATGGTTCTGCAGATTGCTCTACTGCCCCCCCCCAATTCATTGGTGGCCTAATCTTGCCACTTACAACCAGAGGAGACATGATATGACATTTTATTATTTATTACTTTATTGTTTACATGTTGCCTGTCCTCTCGAATTTTAGAAATAAAAGGAAGATCATGAGGATTTTTACGCTACCTCCTGCTGTAGAAGTACCGCCTGAGCCAAACTTTTACGACAGTGTGAAAAAAATTCGTCTACGGCAGCAGCTAGAGATGTACTCTATCGGTAGGTATACTCTATATCGGAAGGTTCTCAGTACGTTTCTGAGCACAATTCAAAGCGTTGAATTAAAGACGTAAAACGGCCTTGGTTCAGTATACCTGAAGGAGCGTCTCCACCTCCATCATTCAGCCCGGGCACTGAGATCCAGCTCTGAAGGCCTTCTGGCAGTTCCCTTTAAAAATGTGTTTTTTGGGGTGGGGTTAGTGGATTGTTGTTTTAAGTTTACATATTTTGTGGCTTTATATTCTGATTTAATTCTGTGAGCCGCCCTGACACCTGCGGGTATAGGGTGATATATAAATTCAATAAATAATAATAATAAATAATAATAAATAATAATAAAAGTTGCAGGGAACCAGGTAGAGGGCCTTCCCGGTGGTGGCACCCTCCCTGTGGAACACCCTCCCATCAGATGTCAAGGAGATAAAGAACTACACATCTTTTATAAGACATTTGAAGGCAGCCCTGTATTGGGATTTTTTTTTAATGTTTGAAGTTTTATTATGTTTTTATATTTTGCTGGAAGCCACCCAGAGTGGCTGGGGAAACCCAGATAGGGTGTCGTCGTCGTATATTTAAAGATACAGAGCTTCTAAAGATACAGAGCATCTATTCTTTATTGCAATTCATAACTGAATATACCGTATTTTTCGCTCTATAACACGCAGATTTTTTCTCCTAAAAAGGAAGGGGAAATGTCTGTGCGTGTTATGCAGCGAATGTGTGGTCCCTGGAGCCGAAAAATGAGGCAAAAATCAAACCGCGCTTCAGGGAGAAGGGAGCTCCGTGAGAGAGGAAGCTGTTGCTTTCCTGCATTCTGCCTCAGGGTCTTACTGCCCACCCTGCTCTGTTTCGTTGCTGTGTTTGCTCAAACGGAACAAAGAGCAGGGAAAGCCCCTCCCCTCCTGGCAAGAAGAGAGGAGAGCAGAGCGTCTTTCTAATTCCTCTCCCTGCTCCGGAGGGAACAATGTTTGTGAAGGGAAGAGAGATTACAGGTTCGGCTTAAAATTCTGATTTGACTTCCTGCTTTTTGTTTTTGGAGACACACAGCATTCAAATATGCTTTCTTCCATTTAAAAGGATGAAATCCTTAAACAGTGTTTTGCCTGTAAATTCATGCGATCTGGAAGATTACAGTGTCTGTACCTCTTAAGGGATGGCAAAGCTTAGGTTTCGCTGCTAAATAGTTCTTAATGCAGTTAAAATGCTTTCTTCTGTCATGCTGGTGGGAGGGAGAGGGAGAGGGAGAGAGAGAGAGAGAGAGAGAGAGAGAGAGAGAGAGAGAGAGAGCGCACGCTGGCTGGCTTGTGTGGGTGGGTGGGGGGAAACTTTTGCCTTCCTTTCCTCACGTTATAGCCCTCTCCTGCATTCTTAGCCTTCTGTGTTTTTCCTTCCCTCCCCACTTAAAATGTGGTTAAAAAGTATGGGTCCACATGGATCCTCAGGATCTTTGCATTGGGTCACCCCAAATTCACCATCAGAGCACACAGCATGTCCATGGCTACAGCCTGCCCCCCCAAAATCACACACCCATTGTTGCCTGGGGCTGCAATGGTGCAAAAACGTGGTTACAAAGCATGGATCCACATGGATCCTCAGGATCTTTGCATTGGGTCAGCCAAAATTCACCATCAGAGCACATAGCATGTCCATGGCTACAGCCTGTCCCCCCCCAAAAAAATCACGCACCCACTGTTGCCTGGGGCTGCAATGGTGCAAAAACGTGGTTACAAAGCATGGATCCACAGGGATTCTCAGGATTTTTGCATTGGGTCACCCCAAATTCACCATCAGATCACATGTCTGTGGCCACAGCATGAAGCACAAAAATGATACGTCCACTGTTTCATTCAGAATATTTTTTCCCTTGTTTTCCTCCTCTAAAAACGATGTGCGTGTTATGGTCAGGTGCGTGTTATAGAGCGAAAAATACGGTATGTCAAAAGGAGACTCAGAATAGAAATAAACATTCAGGATATTTCAAAACTCATGATAGATGTTTCAAATGTTTCCAAGCTTATGAGGGTACAGCTCTCTTCCTACATGTTATACAGAGAGGTGCAAAGGGAAAATCAAAAACCAGGGGTCAGCAGACTTTTTCAGCAGGGGGCCAGTCAACTGTCCCTCAGACCTTGTGGAGGGCCAGACTATATTTTGGGGGCGGAAATGAACGAATTCCTATGCCCCACAAATAGCCCAGAGATGCATTTTAAATAAAAGCACACGTTCTATGAATGTAAAAACACCAGGCAGGCCCCACAATAACCCAGAGATGCATTTTAAATAAAAGGACACATTCTACTCATGTAAAAACACGCTGATCCCTGGACCGTCCGCGGGCCAGATTGAGAAGGCGATTGGGCCAGATCCAGCCCCCAGGCCTTAGTTTGCCTACCCATGGTCAAAACTATAGTATTGTGGAATATCAGTCAGTATACAGGACGCAGGATAGCTGTGAATAAGTGGAGTCACAAATCCCAATGGACGTTCCAGGATTTGCAGTTGGTTAGCTATGCTGGTGAATCTTGCCACATTACTGCCTAGATGGGCAGTAGGCTGTTATGACCATGTGGTCATAAGAGGGCATACAGCTGTTCATATGTTTCACCTCCTATTTACTGATAATGAGAGGAGTACAGTGATACCTCGGGTTAAGAACTTACCGTATTTTTCGCACCATTGGATGCACCGGACAATAGGACGCACCTTGTTTTAGAGGGGGGAAAACAAGAAAAAAAAATCTCCCCCTCTCTGCCCAGCGCCCCTTGCGCGAAGCGGCAGGAGGCGTTGCGCAGAGAGGGGGAGAATTTCCCCCTTTTCTTTCCCCCCTCTAAAACAAGGTGCCCTTTAAGGTGCGTTCAGTCGCCTTCAGGCGGCTACCTCGGATGCCTGGAGAGGGGTGGGTGCGCAGCGACCCCTCTCCTCTCCAGGCTTCAGGTTCCTTTCGACCTGCTCCTTGGGGCTGGCAGGGGAAGCCCACCACCAGCCCCAAAGAGCAGGTTGGGGAGAAGCGGAAAGGCGCGCAGCGGAGAGGCTGCTGCCATAGTCGCGCGTCACCTCTCCAGCTGGGAGAGGGTCGCTGGGCTACGGCTTCTTTAGCCCCCCGCGTGCTCTCCGGCTGGAGAGGTGACGCGCGGCTATAGAGGCTCCTGCCACAGCCGTGGGTCACCTCTCCAGCCGGGAGAGGGTAAGCGGGGCTTCTTTAGCCCCGCGCGTGCTCTCCTGGTTGGAGAGGTGACGCGCGGCTATAGAGGCTCCTGCCATTGCCGCACGTCACATCTCCAGCCGGGAGAGGGTCGCGGGGGGCTTCTTTTGCCCCGCGCGCGCTCTCCCAGCTGGAGAGGTGACGCTCGGCTATGGAGGCTCCTGCCATAGCCGCGCGTCACCTCTCCAGCCGGGAGAGGGTCGCGGGGCTATGGCTTCTTCGCTCCATAGGATGCACACACATTTCCCCTTCATTTTTGAAGGGGGAAAAGTGCGTCCTATAGAGCGAAAAATACGGTAATTCGTTCTGGAGGTCTGTTCTTAACCAGAAACTGTTCTTAACCTGAAGCACCACTTTAGCTAATGGGGCCTCCTGCCACTGCACCGCCGCTGCACAATTTCTGTTCTCATCCTGAAGCAAAGTTCTTAACCCGAGGTACTATTTCTGGGATAGCGGAGTCTGTAACTTGAAGCGTATGTAACCTGAAGCATATGTTACCTGAAGCGTATGTAACCCTAGGTACCACTGTAGTGTTCATTTGAGTTATGATGTCCTGGTAAATGGATGTTCAGCCAGCCTAGATCAGAAACAAGTAGGTGTACAAGTGGGACTTGCAAGTAAATGTTGCAGGGTGCTGTTCAGGGGGCCAGCCAGCCATGCTTTTTTCTAGGATAATTCCTCCATGGGATTTCCATGTGTCCAGCCACCCCACCCCACCCCTGCCCTAACAGAGGCTCAGTGTTCTGTAGTAGCTTCATTGGGCTTTTGCAAGAAAAATGCTTTTTGTTTTTGTATTTCTGCAGACCCCAAGACTGCTTGATACCTCTCTGTTTTGGTGTTGCTTTGGTTCGATGTTAGTATATAGGTTGGCAGTATTTATCCTTTGAAATCATGGTCCAGGTACTCTCCAAAGGAGGTTCTCTATTCAGTATAATGAAAACAAAAGGAATACCTGTGAGACTGATGTGCACAAAAGTTTGCTCAAAGCCAGACACAGAATACAAAACAAGAAGTTGCCAGTGTCCAGGTTTCCCTGCAATTTTTGTTGTTGTTGTTTAGTCATGTCCGACTCTTTGTGACCCCATGGACCAGAGCACGCCAGGCACTCCTGTCTTCCACTGCCTCCCGCAGTTTGGTCAAAGTCATGCTGGCCTCTTTGAGAACACTGTCCCACCATCTCGTCCTCTGTCGTCCCCTTCTCCTTGTGCCCTCCATCTTTCCCAACATCAGGGTCTTTTCCAGGGAGTCTTCTCTTCTCTTGAGCCTCAGCTTCAGGATCTGTCCTTCCAGTGAGCACTCAGGGCTGATTTCCTTCAGAATGGATAGGTTTGATCTTCTTGCAGTCCATGGGACTCTCCAGAGTCTCCTCCAGCACCATAATTCAAAGGCATCAATCCTTCTGCGATCAGCCTTCTTTATGGTCCAGCTCTCACTTCCATACATCACTACTGGGAAAACCATAGCTAGAGCGACATATTTTTTGGGGGGGGGGGCTACTCTTGGCCTTTTTGTCAAGCTTCCCATTTTTTATTCTAGGGATGTAAAACCAGTTTACAAAATCTTGCAGAATTACAATGGGTTTATCGTTTGTCAGTGATTTTTCTTACTGACAGTGTCCCATTACACCCCCACTTTTCCTTCTAAGCAAACCCTCTGAAAAACAAAACATCATTCCATGTATAACCTTAGTATCAAACTTCGTTAGCAAGTTGGGGTGTGATTTCGCAATGCCTGCCATTGTTGGACATGTGCTTGCATCTATTGCTTCTATGACTTTAAATCGCTAAATGATGTGCCGGTAACAATTACTATTAAATGTGGACATTTTGCACTCGTGACAGAAGGCAATTTTTTATCCTAAAATGAGTGCATTGGAATTTGCTGAATGTGTATTGTGCTGAATTAGTTTGTTAGCTAACAGATAAACAATGGTTTTGAAGTAACTACATGTTGTTGCTGGTTTTTTTTAGGAGGGGCAGAATCTTACAATAGGAATTTAACAATTCCCTGTATGTTTACTTAGAAGCAAGTCCCACTGAGTTCAGTAGGGCTTAATTTCTAGTAATACCGCCTCTGCTGGTATGCCCCACGGAGGACCTTAAGGTCCATAAATTGCAACACCCTAGAGGTCCCGGACCCTAAGGAACTCAGATTAGCCTCAACCAGAGCCAGGGCCTTCTCGACACTGGCTCCAGCCTGGTGGAACGCTCTGTTTCATGAGACCAGGGCCCTGTGGGATCTGATTTCTTTCCGCAGGGCCTGTAAGACAGAGTTGTTCCGCCTGGCCTTTGGCTTAGAATCAGTTTGATTCCCTCCCTCTCTTTCTTTTTCCTTTCTCCTCCTGTGAAGAGGCTGCATCCTAATGTTTTAATGTTGTATTTTAATCTTGTTTTTTAAATTGTATTTTAATCAGCTTGTTTTTATTATTGGTTGTTAGCCGCCCTGAGCCGTCTTGGCTGGGGAGGGCGGGGTATAAATAAAATTTATTATTAATAATAATAATAATATGTTTAGGATTGCAGTCTAATATATCCAAATGTGTTTATTTTTCTAGCAAGGAAATATGATCACCAGCAGCAAGCGCAGAAGCAGAGTGATAGTGTACAGCTATTGGTGGAATGAAGTCTCGAAGCTCTGAAGCCGAGAGGATGATGGAAAGCTTGGGATGTAGTCCTTTTCAATGCGACTTGAATAGTATAGTGATTTGTATTCGTAATTATTGCCTTGAGAAGACGTATGTAAATGTACAGCGAGCATTTTCTGAAATCGGGAAAATTAACATGGCTGATACATATTGGCCCTGTTTCCCAGTTTGCATTACAAATGATTTCCAGTAAAAGTGGGAGTAGATAAAGTTAAGGCAGGGCTGCTGGGACGTTCAGTGTGGGTATCACAGCTATTCCCATTCAGAAGGGATGAGAAAGGCACATGACATTTGATGTGCCTCAGTGCGGTTAATAAAGTAGTTGGTGCTGGCAGAGAACAGAATATATACTTAGAGGCTCACAATAAATACCAAATGTCCTGTTTGGGTTATAGAATATAGATGAAGAGATAAAAATATTAGAATGTACAAATTTTCCTTTTTGCCCAGGTAAACAGTGGTGGATAAAACAATAAGTAGTTAAGGAAGTTCAGGTGGAGGCTCCGCAGGGCATGAATATTTTTCTTTTTACCTGTTTTACTTGTCTTCCTGGTTTTTTCTTTAATATTATTAAGTTCCATTGTTGTTGCAGCTGCTGTTGTTTTTAAGCCAGGATACTTCCAGTTAAAATTACTTAGGACCATTGAACTCAGTGGAATTAAGCTGTTTAGGCAGTTGTGCCTGGGTAGTCTGTGGTCTTAATTAGAACTAAAATAAACTTAAAATGTTTTTGGAGAAATGCCCATTTGACAAAGTCAGTAGCAAAGCTGCAATTCTTTATGGGGTGAGCACATTTTCTTATTGGGTTGTTAAATGGCACTTTAATGCGGCACTGTTACAAAGAGGGTTACATAGCTGGAGCACAAGATAGTAAAACTGTTCTGAGCAATTACAGCTAGAATTGCTTGGATTACAGATCCACCTTTAATGGTCAGTTATAAATGTATTTGCAAATATGTCAGACAAAACTGATTCTGGTGGAATTATGGAGTGATTAGGTGATGCAAATAATTTATATGCAGGTGCTCATAAATATTGGGAGAAATGTGAAAAAATTGTTCGAGGCACTTTTGAAAACATAAACATGTGACGAATTAAACAATGAATTGCATCCCTAAGTAGGTGGTGACTTTCCAATTATGGTTGAAAAGAAAAAGAGCAGATTAACAAATTTCTGTCTAGTGTTAAATAGCCATTTCCAACACTTGTCAAATTTTTTTTGTTTATGCCCCACGTCTCCTGAACTGCTGCCCTCTGCATAAAAAACTTCTAGGGAAGTAATGTGCTCCAAGTATCTGATCACAGCCAAAGTTCCTTATTCTCCCTTCCACTTCCAATAGCATTTCTGGCGTGAAAGTTAATGCTTTGGCTGTAGTGAGACAACTATTCAAAGAGTTTCCTATTTGGACTGCAGATGGAGTTCAGTAGTCTATCCTTCTATACTTGGGATTTGGTCTCTATTATATCACCACGACCCCTCTTTGTGATCCTTTGCAGATTTCCTGTGTTTGCAGCACAGACTAGTGGGGATGAGCTTTCAGTTTGGACAAGTGTAATCAACCAGATGTGCAGTTTAAGGGCTGATGTTCACATCATGTTGGGGCAGCTTTTTGTAGATATAAAAGTTACCCCCAGATCTGCATTTCTGGGTGCTATATGGTGGGAGCTTGGAGCTTGCCAATCTTGGCTGTAGCGACTTCAGTGATTGTGTAGTAACAACAAAAAGGAAAGTGAATCAAGTGAATTTCTTATCCTGTATATGTATGAGGAACCCAAGGACATCCTAGTGCAGGCATAGGCAAACTTGGCCCTCCAAATGTTTTTGGGACTACAACTCCCATCATCCCTGTCCACTGGTCCTGTCAGCTAGGGATGATGGGAGTTGTAGTCCCAAAACATCTGGAGGGCCGAGTTTGCCAATGCCTGTCCTAGTGTATCACTTGTGAATATACAACTACATAGTATTATTGTAATATAATGTATCACTTCCATTGGACTGTCTGGTACTATTGTGCCCTGGGTAGCAGCTGTACACTTGCCCTTGCAAAATGCTCCCGTACTTTCAGTGTATAAAATGTTTTTGTATTTTATTTTTAACAGTAAAATGCATTTAAAGTTGGGTCTGTGTGAAGCTTATTTTTCCTGAGCGAACAGCATTTTGATGGGTAACATGCATGTAAGTTTTAAAATATATTTCTTACAAGGATGCACGTTAAGAATTATTTATCAGACCTAATATCTAGTGAGGGATGCGGGTGGTGCTGTGGCTTAAACCACAGAGCCTAGGACTTGCCGATCAGAAGGTCGGCAGGTTGAATCCCTGCGACAGGGTGATCTCCGTTCCTCGGTCCCTGCTCCTGCCAACCTAGCAGTTCGAAGCACGTCAAAAGTGCAAGTAGATAAATAGGTACCGCTCCGGCGGGAAGGTAAACGGCGTTTCCGTGCGCTGCTCTGGTTCACCAGAAGTGGCTTAGTCATGCTGGCCACATGACCCGGAAGCTGTATGCTGGCTCCCTCGGCCAGTAAAGCGAGATGAGCGCTGCAACCCCAGAGTCGGCCACGACTGGACCTAATAGTCAGGGGTCCCTTTACCTTTACCCTTTACTCCCGCCAGGCTCTGAAGGCTTGCGAATAGGAGCCTGTTCTGGGGGCTGGGGTCGGGGGAAGCTTGGGCCTGGAGGGGGAAAATAATCCCCCTCCCTTTATTCCCCCCCTGAAAAAAACTAGGTGCGCCCTATGGGCTGGTGCGCCCTATAGAGCGAAAAATACAGTATATAAAGCAGATATTCTGGGGGAACCTCCATTCCTCATCACCACTATGAGCTGAATAAAGAGAATGAAATCTTTTCCAGGGAGTCTTCTCTTCTCATGAGGTGGCCAAAGTATTGGAGCCTCAGCTTCAGGATCTGTCCTTCCAGTGAGCACTCAGGGCTGATTTCCTTCAGAATGGATCGGTTTGATCTTCTTGCAGTCCATGGGACTCTCAAGAGTCTCCTCCAGCACCAGAATTCAAAAGCATCCATTCTTCGGCGATCAGCCTTCTTTATGGTCCAGCTCTCGCTTCTATGCATCACTACTGGGAAAACCATAGCTTTGACTATATTGATCTTTGTCGGCAAGGTGATGTCTCTGCTTTTTAGGATGCTGTCTAGGTTTGTTGGATGGATATAATAATAATAATAATAATAATAATAATAGGTTTGTTGGATGGATATAATAATAATAATAATAATAATAATAATAATAATAATAATAATAATAATAATAATAATATAATAATAATAATAATAAGTTTGTTGGATGGATAATAATAAAAATATAATAATAGTTGTTGATGATATAAATAATATAATAATAATATAATAATAGTTTGTTGATGGATATAATAATATAATAATATAATAATAATAATAATATAAATAATAATAATATAATTAGGTTAGTATTGGGATGGATATAAATTAATATATAGATAATAATAATAATAAATAATAAATCAATAAATAAATATTTTATATTTTATTTATACCAAAAAACCACCCGCAAGCTCTTATTCCGCGCCAAACGAGGCTCCGGGGAAACCTATCCGGTTCCTGTGCGCCCCCCCCCCAAAAAAAAAAACAACCAGAAAGCACCCAGGCGGCCCGGGTGTTACCCCATTGCGTCCCTCGCGCTTCTTCCCGCTTCCGGCGGCCCCGCTTTCCCTTTTCTCCCCCCCCCCGGCCCTTTCCACCGCGAGTCTTATTGTCTCTGGTGCACCATCCGGTTCCTTTGCCGGCGTGCTTGGCGCCCGTTGGCAGGAGAGCGAGCGGGCGCGCGCGCGGGCGCGTGACACACACACACAGAGCGAGAGAGAGAGAGGCTGAGAGAGGCTGAGAGAGGAGGCGGGCAGGCAGGCGAGGCGCCGGGTCTGCAGAGCGCGTGGCTGGGACGGTGAGTGAAGAGAGCGGGCGAGCGCGCGCGTGTGGAGACGGCGGCGTGTGGAGACTCGGTGGGTCGGTCGGGCCGCGTCCCCCCGTCCCGGTCACGGTGACCCGAAGGAGTCACGCGGGCTTGGGACCGGCGCCGCCGCCGCAGCGGCCTCCCCGCGACCACCTCCCCCGCCAGCCGCTTTCCTATCCCCCTTCACGTGTCGAGGCTGAGACCCGCGTGTCTCGTGTGAATAGCGTGCGGCGCGGGGAGAAGGCGTGTGAGGGGGCCGGGGAGCGGTGGGGGGGGTGGGGGGGGAAGAGGAAACCCCCACCACCGAATAAAAACGGAATGACGCCTCACCTGCCCCGTTGAAGCCAGGTGCACATCCCCCTCCATGAAGGCTTGCGTGTCGCTTCTCTCCCTCCCTCGGTTGAAGAGAACTTTTTTTATGTCAGTTGCTTGACTCGCCGGCCAGGATGCACCACATGCAGCCTTTTCCCGCCCCTTCCCCCCCCCCAAAAAAGTTCAGCTGTTATCCAATTTTTTTACCTTTTGGTGAAATGTCCCCTGGTTGTCCTGTCTTGGCTGGGACGGAGTCCCTTTTTCAGTCAGTTCATACCCAGCGTCGAGGTTGTATCGACTATTCTTCTCTGTGTTTGATTGATTGATTGATTGATGGATTCCCCTTTTCGTCTTGAAGGAGAGGGGCAGCAGCAGCAGCAGAGATAATCTCATTTATTAAAAAAAAATAAAAATTCCTTCCAGTAGCACCTTAAAGACCAACTAAGTTAGTTCTTGGTATGAGCTTTCGTGTGCATGCACACTTCTTCAGATACCAACATGCATGCACACGAAAGCTCATACCAAGAACTAACTTAGTTGGTCTTTAAGGTGCTACTGGAAGGAATTTTTTTTGTTTTGACTATGGCAGACCAACACGGCTACATATCTGTAATCTCATTTATGTTTGTTCCATTTCTCAAGTTTCATAAAATGAGAGGCAAAAAGAGATGATAGGTGGGAACTGAAGGGGGTTTTTCTGGTCAGAAAACCTTGGAAGGCTGCTTAGCTAAGCATCCCTGCACTAGGTGACTCGTTTTCTGTTAATCTTATGTATGATCTTAAGCATGTTTGTTTAAAATTAAGGGCACGTTAATTCATCCAGGATTTTAAATGCCTACGGTCAGAGTTATAGCCCTATTCCCTGCCCCCCCCCCGCTCTTCTCCATAAGGCAGTCAGGCCAACATTTGCTATAAAAAGGTACCTAAATTGTTGAGGAAGTGGTACGCTGCTGTATCTGGGAGGCACATAAAGTAGAAAGTGGGCATGCCTGAACTATTCCTGTGCTGCTTTGTAAAGATAATATTTTTTATTTTATTTTAAGCATTGTTTCCATGTTATGTGACTGGACAGGCCAGGCTAGGCTTGATGGTAGTTATGTGGCTAGCTTTGGCATGCATGAGTTTTAATACATAAATACCCACCAATGGGAGGTTTTCTCCCCATGCCATTGTTCCAATCTGATTTAGCTCTGCACTGATTATTTATGTCAAACTATGCACAACATTACTAACCACTAACAATATCCAGTTAGGCCCTAAGATATACAGTGGTACCTCGGGTTACAGACGCTTCAGTTTACAGACACTGCTAACCCAGAAATAGTGCTTCAGGTTAAGAACTTTGCTTCAGGATGAGAATAGAAATCGTGCTCTGGCAGCACAGCAGCAGCAGAAGGCCCCATTAGCTAAAGTGGTGCTTCAGGTTAAGAACAGTTTCAGGTTAAGAACAGACCTCCAGAACGAATTAAATACTTAACCCGAGGTACCACTGTATTTACAAAGAGGTTCAGAAGTGCAGTTATTACTGTGTTCCCCTTTAAGGTTGGTTCTTGCCTTATTTGAAGGACACACAAAATAATACTGCATTCCTAACTACACTTACCTGGAAGTAAGTCCCATTGAATTAAGTAGGACTTCTGAGTAGGATTGCACTGTAAGGAAAGTTTGTAGGCAGTTCTTCCTTTCTCTGTGCCTGAAGACCTATTTTATGTGTCATGGCCGAGTCTTTTATAGACAAGTTTCAGCTAATATTTTTGGGTGGGTCCTGAAAGTACTTTTGTAGGCATGTTGGCACATGGACATTGTAAAGCTCAATACCTTTTACATGCATAAACAATGTCTAAAGTACAATACACTGCAATGCTTGTAGTTATCTGTGCTGAATCAAATATCTTGGTTGAAGAGGGCAAAAGAGCAACAGGTTATATCTAAGACAAACTGGAGTGGCTGTTTAACAGGCATTTTGGGAATGCTAAGTATGTAACAAAAGTAATAATATGGAAGATATGTGGTCATTCACATCCATTAAAAGCTTATGGCAACATTTTATTGATGGCTCTGTATTGTCGTGCAGCTAGGCACATGACTGAAGAGCAACTGACCATTGTTAAATAAATATGCAAGTGGTGATGAGTGTGGTTGGTCCTCATTGACCTCAAATTATAGAAGGTGCTTGTGTGAAGCCTCCTGAATCTGTTGAGGCTGCCTGCATGTTCTTCAGCCTTGATTTTCCAAACAGTTTCAGAATGTCCCTCATTTTTGATCAGTCATTAAATTTCCATCTGTTCCCACCATGAATCCCACTCTTAGTGTGATTCCAGTGTGTTCCAGGAAGACTTAACTTTGCACTACTGTTAGAATACTGCTTTTTGTAGGCTGGGAGGGAATGGGATAGCAGCAGTAAATAATATCTTAATATTTAGCCCACCTCTGCCTCTGTTGGTCTTGTTCTGCTGGTACAGGCATTGTTTCACAGTTTGCCCTTTGGCTTGTGCCAAGTGTGCTTCCTTTAGGTTATCTAGCGGGGAGAAGAGATAGAGCAACCTAGTGAAGAGCCACAGGCAGCTATGGGTATGCAGTCATTGACCACACAAGAGGATAAGAGTACTATGTATTTGCATTATCTATGTGAAATTTCACAATATTTTAACTTCAGGGTGGCAATGGCTTCATATTTCACCGGAGATAACTTTTAAAGACACACAACTTTGTCTTCAATTTCCTGCCACTGAGCTGGTAAGATTTTGCTGCTACCCGTAACCCCTGTGCTTTGGATATACAGTGGTACCTTGGGTTACATACGCTTCAGGTTACAGACTCTGCTAACCCAGAAATAGTGCTTCAGGTTAAGAACTTTGCTTCAGG